CCAACAGCTAGAAATCCCCACTTTACCTACAGAAAAATGTATAGAAAAACCATGCCATATATATCCAACATGTGTCAATGAAAAAATCTACAGAAATCTAAGAACGAGAAAAAATTGTTTCTTCTGACGTTATGGATGTGTCTTCAATAACTTCTTTCCTGATAGAAATCTACGAATTTGCCTCCTTTATGAAAGTAAAAAATTATGGTCCTCATGGAATACTTTTGCTATAAGTATACGAAGTTCACACCAGCATCTACATAACTGATATGCAAACATCCAACAAGAAATTAACAAACACCCAAGAATACATTGGCATTGATGTTTGGCAGAAACTCCTTTGGTATCTTGCTCCATATACACGCACACCATTGTTAGCAATTATCTGGGTAATAACTTTGTTGACCACTACACCATTAGCCAAACCCATGCCTCCATTTTAAATTTGGAGTTTAGAAAATTTTGTCTGTCAGACCAACCCATGACTTATTTTTAACCATGGACGAAGCTCCAGTCTCTCCAGGCCTCTTTCACCTCCATAACTTCTTGCTTATGTCCTCTGTTTGCTATCCAGAAAGGTTATCATTGATTCTACAATCATCAGATCTCTTGGTTGCTCTGTGCCAAGCAATAGAAGAGCCTCCTCTACATCATGTTGCAGTTGGAAAGTTCAAAGTGTTGCTTTGATTCAGGAAAATCGAGATCGAGAAGCACATGGTGACCACCATAAACGGACCCGTCACAAGCCGCCTCCATCCATTCTACAAAATTGGATGGTGAAATGGCACCACATGACACAACCATGCAGGATTACTATTTTTTCTGGACCATTCTATTGAGGTTTTCATTTGATGTAAAAACAGATGCATTACTTCTCCCGACCATGTGTCCAGGCATGTATGCAAAGCACATCTAGGCGTGCCATCATGCTATAGCCTATGCGTGTTTGATATTATATAATTTTGTTGTGCATGGTAGGTTTACAGCTTATTTCTAACATCAAGATTTGGAGATTGGAACAATAATAAAACATAATTAAAAAACATATATCATGTTTAGTATTTACTATTTTATGCCTATAAAACGCATAAGTATACTTATTACAAAATAGGGATAAAACATAGATAAATATCTAGCCCGTGCAAGTGCACGGGTTGACGACTAGTCGAAATAATCTATTCGAGATGCTCCTACGCACACATTTTATTTTATATTATGTATGCAAACAGTGGCTTCACTTGATTCAAACATGCTACAAACCTTTAACATCGGATGTGCCGGGTCAGTATATGTTGGGGTGACATCACCAAACTATTACTCAGATGTTTTTCTGGCCGGTCAAATAATGACTATTTTAGATTGTTCCAGGAATGAGGCTATTACGGTTGCATGCAAAGAAGACCAAAGTAGCAACATAGGACATGGACACAAGGATTCGGCTCCGGAGCTCATCTGCTCCCTGGCATGAAAGTAAACTTATATAAATATTAGAATTTTAAAAAATATGAATGTTTTTGGCATGAAATATGTTCGAGTGCGTGATATCCGTGCCAAATTTGGCGGTGTGTGGACATCTAAGTAGCTCTCATGAAAAACATGAGGGCTTTAAGAAAGTACACTGTTCACGCACTATTTTGACAAATTTTATACTTTTCTCCAAGGATCCTTAGATGTCCGAATACAAAGAGATTTTACCCGTAAATCATGCATTTTAGTGTCCTTGTTGACGAAAAAACAGTTTTTTTTTATTTTTAGTTTTTTAGTGTTCATAAGTAAATGTTTTCGAAGGACATCTCCTTTGGTAGCTTACAAAGGTGTGTTCGTGGAAAATTAGAACAGAATAAATCATGCATTGAATTGGTGTGTGTGTGTGTGTGTGTGTGTGTGTGTGTGTGTGAGCGCGTGTTTGTGTGTGTGTTGAAAACTGGAACTGATGCGTGTTTAATGACATATAGAACACTATAATAAACCTATTTTGAAATTAGACTCAAACACCTCTCGAGTAGGTTTTTAAAGTAGAACAGTGCATTTTAAAGACGAAACAAACATAGGAGGAGAAATCTATTTGAAAATTGGACTAAAAAAACCTCTCAAGTTCGTTTACAAAGTCGAGCAGTGCATTCCAATGATGAAACAAACACGGTGCGAGTAATCTATTAGATACTCATTCGTGAATCATGATATACGCTTCTCTTCCCGGGCAACTATTGTTGCTTAGGTTTCCTCATGATGTGGGTCCTTAATTAACACTAGTGATTGGGGCCCGCCATTGCGGGCCGCTTGAGAGGAAGTTGTGCGCACCTCACCTTCATCTCGAAATTATAAAAAACATTCTCGCCTCACGCGGACATCACATCCATCCCAAAAAGAAAAAAAAAGCCTAGAAAAACTTTTCTCGAAAAGAAAAAGGGAAAAGTCTCACAACCATTTAGAAAAAACTAAAAAAAATAAAAAACTTTCTCACCGTAACCAACCCGCATGCGCCAAGTGGCGTAGCTAGTTGGCTACCGTTATAGCACTCCTTAATGGGTTTAATGATGCCTTCCTTGTTTTCTATGACAACAAGTTTTGTTTGGCATTGGTGAGCGAGAAGTGATGATGGTGGCGCGCCTTCGGCCCGTTCCTGTGCATCTTGTCTATGGACCTAGAAGTATTGGTGTTTTTAGTGCTACCATGACAGTTGATGAATAGATCGGAAGTTTTTCCCACGCAAAAAACATACTATGCATGTTGTATTTGCTGACAAACTCTTTATGTCCATGCATATCATTTTGATGTACAACATAATATGGATCTCTTCTGTTCTTCTCTATTGGTAATCTAAACCACCCGTTTTCTATTGGCTTATTAGTATAGGATTTTTTTTAAAATATGCCAATATTCAATTAACAAATATGCTTAATTTATAATTAATGAGCTTTAATTTATAACCAATATATAAGATATGCCCCAATTGTCAAAATCCATGATATCTGAGCCTATATTTGGATACAAGTAATTGCTTGCATTAATCATGGGTCCAATTGCCTAAATTCCACATGCTCCCCACAACTTTAAATTCTGATGATCATGGCTATTCTTTGCTGAATGAGTTTGATATCTCGGTAGGAACAAAACAGCTTCCTTCCCTTGATCGCCTATCGAAGTTCTAAGGAAGACGACTACCGAAGTAAAAGGTATTTCCTCAAGCAGTTCATCAAGTAATATTTATACAGTTTTAGTCTAATTATCCCATGATCTTTAACTTCAAAAGTTAGGCACGGATTCTCCATGACACGTGTGATGGAATGAGTAGATACACGTATAAAGTAGTGTTTCGTCGTTTTGCTTGAGAGATGGCTAGCATCTTGCTATAAGGTAAGCTAATCTTCCAAAGGTAAAATATTGGAGACAAAATAGATCTGATAATATTCATAGATCTGATTGTATTATTGTGCATATGATGCTATTATTTATGGTTAATATGATTTCCCACACGTAGTACATTTTAATATCTCACTTCTATAACTTGTAGGAGTAATTGGTGCTCAGTATTATTGTACGTAGGTCCTCCTTATCTAAATATACCACATATATTGGATCTGTAGATAGATCCAAATGTATATATAGATAGGTATAGTTATCTGGATAAAAATAAAAGAACATGATGGGATGAGAAAGTAATAGTTTTGCATTACTATGTAGACATAGTTGTTTTCAAAAAAATTTAAGTAATCAGCCGAAGGTAATCATGAATATACCATCGTGAAGTCAAGAATGTATGTCAACTACATCATCTTTAAAGTCTACATGATTGCATCCAGATCGGTGTCGGAAACTCCTATGGACGAATTTAAATTATTTTTAAAGTGAAGTACCATCCGACTAATGTGGGCACAAAAACATAAATGTAGTTGGAGATGTAGTTTCTTGTATGACGTTTCCTTCTATGTGGTTCATTTTTCACTTCTACATGTTTTTTTAAATATTAGTTTACTGCTGCCTTTAACTCTATATAGGGGAATAAACATTTTGTTTCCCAACACCAGATCACCATGGACGGGGAGTGGCCGCAATACAACAGTGTTGTGCTCAATGATCTTGACCCCTTCATGACAAGTGAACACAACCACCTATTGCAGCACGACCATGGTGATGAGACATATGGTCTACTTGGAGCCACTGCCAACGTGGGAATGATTGATGATACCAACGTTGTTGCTGGAAACGAAGGAAACAACAATGGAGAAACCTACAGTCAACAGAGGATGGAGAGAAGGCGTACCAACTATCACCGTCTCCGCATAGAACAGATCCAACAACTTGAAGCGTACAATACATACTCAATCATTTTTTCTTACCTACCGAAGATGATGTTTACTAATGCATTTCCATTAACGTCATCTGTAGTGTCTTCCGGGAAATCCCTTATCCAGATGAGAAACTCCGGAAGACCCTTAGTGAGAGGCTTGGCATGAGTGCCCAACGGGTCAAGTTCTGGTTCCAAAACCATCGCAGCAATAGTAAGGTAAATACTATTCTTCTCCATGCTGAATAACATGAGATGTCGCCACATGGGTCAACTAAGACATGCAGTTATGCAGATTTTTGCGGTTAATTAGTACAAATTAACTCCAATGAACAAAGTAGCATTGTTTTTCATCTGAACTCACAATGCCACGGGTGAGGATTTTTGGTGCTCTCGCTCAATGGAGAGAGAATTTTAAAAATAATACAAAATTCAGTTTTTTAGATTCAAAAATATCTGAAGATCAGTTCATAAGTAACTATATAGATGTGTGTAAAACTTCATTTTGAAATACATTTTGATGTGAGCTGTACGAAAAATCATGTACTTTAATAGTGAAGAGTACATATGCTAGACATACATTTTTTTTGCTATTTTTGCGTAACCATCTTTAAAATGTATTTCACCACGTACCTTTACACAGAACTAGTATTCATCGATGGGTATGTGCATATTATGTTCATGACTTTTTTGTATTCGAATAATATGATTTTTGAATTTTTAAAATTTGAGACTACATGAAGCTCGAGCTCCATTAGAAAATTCTACAATTTACTACTATGTTACCCTCGTGAACATGGGGTCATACTCTTATAATAACTGCTGAAATGATGCATTCGTGAAATTAATAAATACAGGGCAAGACACAAAGGCGGGAGACCAACACTCTTCATTTAGAGAACCAGATGCTAAAATCTGATAGGCAAGCCATCATGTTGGCTATGGAAAATAGCACTTGCCTCAAATGCAGAGGGGCGGTTGTTCAAACTCAGGACACCTCAGAGCGCCAACGCTTGTTCAAGGAGAATATGAAGCTCAAGGAGGAACTTAGGCTTGCCACGACGCATCTTAAAGAGGGTCTCCAACAAAATGGAATGTGGCCCCGATTGACCCGCAACTAACCACACCGTCTTTGGTTGTTTCCAACGTAATCCTGTCGCATGAACGCTAGTTTTGCTTGATTCCTAGGCATGCAAATAATGCATCATGTTGTGTGTGTATGTGCATGACTTGGATGCTTGTTTATTTCTTTTCGTAGGCTGTCATGGTTGCTTCGTGGGATGTCACGAGATATAGCAATCATGGCAACAATGTATGGGTTGTGGAGTGAGTGGTTTTCGGATGGCATTGCCGTGAAGCTCAGTCCAGTGCCCATCTTTATATCTTCGAGTTTTTATCCAAACAGATCAAGTAGAATCAAAATAATTAAAAAGGAGAAGAAGAATAATAAAAGCAGCATGTTGAATGTCACGCCAGAATTTTGTATGTCTTCTAACATTTCTTCACGTAAATATTTCATTTATTGAGACACGTTTGTCAATGATCCTTTTTGTCAATGAAAAATGATATTTGAGCATTGATCACGTTCCGGAGCCATTGTGGGAAGTGGATCGCAATTGTCATCTACCTCACAAACTCCCCGGTATAAGCACTTGTAGAGTCATGCGCGGAGCAGGATGAAGAGGACCCGTAGTGAGCTACAGGTAGTGCAATATTTCGTGAAGAATTCCATGGGATCCTATCTTGTTTTGGATGGTCATATTGAATGTTTCACACACTGCCAATAAAATTACACTATGTACGTATGTAGAAAGGTTACCACTATGTTCAAAATTCTGATACTTAGCTTTGGTTATCTTACTGCAGCTGTCGACGAATGTAGTAACGACAACCCTTGTCCTTTGGAATGCACTTGTCACAGTAGCATTGGAGGATACCAATGTGCTTGCTGAGTAGGAAAAAAAACAGCAAGTCAATACTTGCAGCCCAGATATTGTCTTTATACTAGGTAACACAAAGGGAAATGAGATTTTATCTATCCCTTGACCTTCAAGTAAATTGATATTTGCTTTTGTTTAATGTTTCAATATATTTCAGTGCCTTAGCTCGTAATTGTCCTAGATGAGTTCTGAGATTTTACCACATAAGAAATAAGCCATACCGTGTGAGTTATTTGCCTAAACATGTAATCATGTACATGCGATGCACGTAGATATTAGACAAGATAGTAATTGCATTAGTCAATAGTATTAGGTAGATATTAACTGCACATTGATATTAGCCGGGACATAATTACTTGATTGGCACTAGCACCGATATTAGGTATGCTATTATTAGAGGACAATGGTGTAAAGCATGTTTAGAGCTAAACCAGGTTGAACGCTTGAGATTAGTTTGATATCCGCAACTTTCCCTTTTTGTATTGGTATAGATGATGCAAGAAGGAAATGTATGGCTTGCAGCAGAGCTAATTTCCATAAAATTTACGCAATCTACCCTTTCCTTTCTAACGTGACAAAAGAACGCG